AATCATTTAAATGAGAAAAGAATCTCAAGAAAAGTCCAAATCTGGCTCACTTTCACACCTTTGCATCATGCCTGGCCAATCATGCTGTGAAGTTGGTGTGAAGTCAGACTGCTTGTTTTGAAGGTTACAGTAGCTACATAAATCTGGAAGTTAATGTGGAGAAATGGGGTTTAAGGAGCCGTTTAATCTTCAATGAGAAGTTCTGATGGAAGATACTGACATCCTAAACTGAGGAGATAAATACTACTGTCAATGTTTGTTGGCAAAACAGGAAGCTCAGAATCAGATTTATTGGCCAGGTATGCTTACACACACAAGGAATTTAACTTCGGTGAACTGTGCTCTCTTATGTACAGGTACAACATTAAATATCAACAATAAACAAGAAAAGACTAATATTTACATCATGACTAAATATTAAACAGTGCAGTGGTGAATAGTGCAAAATATGCTGAAGTAACATGATAAGCTATGACCTAAAAACAGGTTAGCTTAGCATAGTTACTACGACAGAGGGACTACATACACTGTTGTTCTAATCTGTCATAAAAAGAAACCAAAAAAAAGGTTACTTTTCCATATTTCTTGATTGAACTAAGTGCATATATATCAGGGAGTTTTAAAGAGCTGGTTTCCTTTCTATTTCCAGCTCACATGCTAAGCTAAGCTAAGCTAATGCCTCTTTCAGTGGCTTTATTATAACCCATAGTCTTGACTGTGGAATTGCTCTTCTCATCTGCAAGAATGGAAATATGTGTACTTCCAAAAATGTGGAGCCATTCATTTACCCTGTTGAGGTATTGCTACACTTGCCACGTCTTTGATCAGAGGAAACATTTATTCAGAACAGTTTTGACACATTGTGGATGAAAGACTTAGACCTAACAGCGACTGGATTTGTCATAAAAGAAGCAGTCTTGGCAGATGTAATGAGACTGACCCAATAAATGTGAAGGCCAAAAATCTTGTGGAGAAATAATCCTCAATGGTGCTACAGCAGAGCAGTGTGTTCCTCCCTCTGCTTAATTGTTCACTGGAGGAAAATAATGTGTGCAGAGTGGAAATATGGAGAATAGAAACGTTGCTTCTAAGCAGCATTAAGTAGTGCATTCAAAGAAATGAAGAATTACCATCAAAGACAGACCCTGGTTCAAGAACAATGTCAACAGCAACTCCACAGACCGCAGACACGAAGGCAGGAGGAATGTACAATCTGAGAAGAGATCAGTTTTCTGCACTATCATTGAGTTATTTCTAAATACTAAGCCTTCAACAATCAAACTCTCCCCCTGTTCAGTCACTGCCAACACGCAAACTGCCAAGTGCGGCTTTAATATGAAATTTAACCCTGCTAACTACATTCCACTGTGTCACAGCAGACCATACCACACTTCATCGTTCACCTAAATTTTTTCCTCTAACTTACTGCCTGTCTCCACAAGCACATTATCTGCGACGCTATCCGCCATGACGCTGAATGACTCAAAACAGAGAGTCTTGGCTCGCAGCGGCTGCAGGGCCTCAACCTCTTGTATCAAAAACGGCAGATTTGTGATTCTGATTCATTTGAGGAAAAGTGGCCTAATGACATTACTTTGCTGTCAACAGCCACTGGAAATTATGTTTCTTTTGAAAATCACATGAGAAAACGCTGCTAAAAATAACTTCTGGTCACAGTTAAGTGTTGTCGTGTCAGTAATGGGGATGCTTCCTCCACTTCCCTCAGGAACATTATCTCTCTCTCTCTCTCTCTCTGTAGCTCCGTGCACATGCAGGCTGAAGGGATACAACAGGAAGCTTTTCAGGGCTGTTAGTGGCATCCATCCTGCTGTGACAAGCATGGGTTTTGTTTTCTTATCACACTTTCTCTAATTTATCTTGTCCTGAAAGGGCGGATTATTACACCCAGGACAAGGACGATAATCTGCCTAATTCATACCCAGTTAGAGCCAAATACCAGTGGGGACAGGAAAGATGGCCCAGATGACCTAAACGTGAGAACGTTGGCCCCAAGTTTATACTGCCTGGTGTCAGATAACCAGAGGTCAAAGAATTTCAAGTTCAGCACTACAATAGCGATGTTCTTTTGCCAGAAAACTGGCCAAAAAACGTTTGATTAAACTATTAAGTATCTGATGAACAAAAGTTTGCCAAACTTGATTTGAGGACAAGTCTTTTCATTATATGTTGTGTCCACCAGAGAGCACCGACAGGTTGATATTGCAACTGTAAGATGTCGAGCTTTTTTAGATTTCTTTTTTAGATTTCTTTTTTTACAGTGGTCTTGAGATAATTGATATATTGCAAGACAAACATAATGAAATATCCTGATATCTGATTCACTGAAGAATATAAATTCCCATAGAAAGGTATGCAAATTAAATTATGTATTTGTTGCAATTTGGTGTCAGTTCCAGTTTTGTCAGTTTTTTATCCTGCTGTCATCTACTTTTTTTTGGCAATTAACTTTCATTTATGTTACCCTCGTTCATAAGTACCACCATGAGGAGTCTCCAAGTGGTGAGACATCCAATTGGCACGGCTCAATTTAACGAGTTGGCAAGGAAGTGTTTTTGGAGCACATTTTTTAAAATTCAATTATCGATATTTGGCACCAGTGATTCCGTAATGCTATCACAGCATTTAGGATGATAATATATTGTGAGTCTACAACCCCCACTCTACAGTTGGTACAGCTTGCCTCTTTTGGTTGAAATCAGGTTGAATATTATTTTCCAGGTTGTGACATCATTTCCACCAATGATACATGGTTCATTTCTGAACATGCATAGCTCAGTGAGCATCACCGCAGCTCCGCTCATCCATGACGAGAATAGCTGGAGGGGCATCAGGTGTGCCTCCTGCACAGACCTCCACTTCAGTCAGCGTGTGTTCATCCAAAGTGAACACGCAATCCTCGACAAAGATCCGACAATTTCAGAGCCAGCCATGAGGCGTCACAGCAACGCCGCACATCAACAATGCATGTGGGCGAACTCGTCAACACTCACACAGGCAGCATGTGAGGGTGATGAATCAAACCCCCTGTCATTCTTCTTCTTCAAGCTTTGGCATTTGTCTGCATGCAAAAAGGCAGAAAAACTATCTTTTGACACTCTTAACTGCAACAAATGATGGCTTTAAATCTGTCTTTTTTATGGTTTGAGATGTGAAAAAAGACAATAATAGGAGTTATTAAAGGTGTGCTCACCGACAGCAGACAATAAACAATAGAAAAACAGAAAGTAAACACTAAGCTAACCTGACGGTCCAGAAAAACAAGTAATCTGCGGTGATCAAAGCCGAGGCAGACAACAAAATCCCTCCTATGTGACATAACTAGATGTTTCAATTCATGTGGATTTGTATGGACTTCTATGCTTTTGGGTTAATACTGTATTACAGGAGCTCTATTTCAATTACACAAACAGAGTCAGTAGGCCAGTAACACTGTGCAGCCTCCGTCTCTGTCGCTCTGTCTCATCTCAGTCCAGGCCATCTGTTTCAGACGCAGCCCTAATAATGAGGCATGAGGAGGACATATATGTTACCTCTGTAAAAGACTGTACTGACACACACACACTCACACACACACACACACCTCGCTAGTAAACTAAAGCCAAAGGGAGATGAGCGTGAACAGGTGCAGCTCTTTCAATATGCTGCAGCCGGATCCTTTGGAAGTAATTGCGTGCTGACTCCTGGAACCCTCTAAAGTGTTGGGGACAGGATGTGGGAGCAGGAGCTATGTATAGGCAGACGCTTAAGCATGCATGCACCTATAAGAACACACAAGTGTATCTAGAGACGCACACACACACACACACACACACACACACACACACACACATATGCACTTTGAGCCATCAACTTATCACCAGGTTTCTAAAGTCAGCCCACAATGATCTAGAATAACATTTCCCGGAGAGTATCAATAACAAAAATACTTTTTTAAGAGATATAATATTTAGAGATTTCCCAACCACATGTCTCCTGAGTATCTGCAAATATCGACTGACCATATGACACTAGTGTGATCAGAAAAATGAACGTAATGTTGGTGGAAAACACTGATGCTTCTAGATTTTTAAAACATTATACTCGGTGCTTTCCCCACAATGTTTGTGTGCATTTTAAGAAGTATTGGAAGCAGACCAATGCTCATATCGTTATCAGTATCAATACTGACATTGGTGTCAGTATCAGCTCTACTCTAGGAGTATTTCCACTCATAGAGAGTCAAGAGCACAGGGATGGAGACACTTACATTTAAGAGACACTGATACCAGCACTGGAGAAAGAGCGGGTGTGTGGGTCTCTGGCTTGTCACATCGGTGAGATCATGAGTGACATGAGGGCCAGAGGGGTTGCCAAATAAATAGGCATAGAGAAAAGGGTTATGCAACTTATTATTCATTTGTCTCAGGCCTTATTTCCATATTCTTTTGTTTGCAAGAGCTTGTTAGGCCGCAGCACGCACCTGGCACTTCCAAGCCAACAAAGTCCCATCTGAAGTGCAGCACACAAGCATCACAAACAGACACACACACACACACACACACACACACACACACACACACTAAGACACACTCAAACACAACATAAAGAACACAAATCAAACTCAAACACAAGGCTGTGTTTTCAAGGGAAGAAAGGTGGTAAATATTCAGAGATCCCAAGCTGGAGGTGCAGCCTGCAAAAGTTTGGAGCAAATCTGAGTTTTTTAAGGTGTTCCTGCTGCCTTTTAAGCCACAGATTCTCACATTATTTGGTGTCCAGCATTCCCAGAGAGCCACATTCTTAGAGAGCTTTTACAGAAGCATACCAAGAGTCCATCCTTGACTTGTGGGCTCATTACAGGCACATGATGTGATGGGAGCGCTGTGCAAACTCTCCATCCCACTCATACCCTCAAACACACGCGCACACACACACACACACGCACACACACACACACAGTCCTAGTGTTAAATGTGAATAGTAAAAAGTTTCCTCCTTACCGTCCTCAGCTGAATTAGGCTGGAAACACAGACAGAGAGACAGAAAGACACTCCACATCGCCACTACAGAATGACACTGACAGAGAGACAGAGGGAGGGAGAGAGCATGAAAGAGGGAGATAGAGTGAGTGTGTGTGAACGCGCTGGAGAGAGAGGGAGAGGGGGGCGAGAGAGGGGGTGGAGTCTGTTTGCTCCCTTTATGAGAGAGAGAGAGAGAGAGAGGGGAGAGAGAGAGGATGGGGGTGGATGAATGAATGGATGAGGGAAGGAGAAAAATATTTACAGAGCAGCACATACAACAAGTACACTGCCAGCCGAAGAAGTAAACAAAACACTGTTGTCACAGCAACGGGAGAGAGGAAGAACTCAGGAAGAGTGAGAGTAGGAGAGTGGGAGAAAGATTAGATTTTTTATTTGAGAAAAACAAAGAGAGATAGAAGGGCAAAATTGATTCAACAAGACAAGAGTGACAGAAGGAGAAGGAGGTGGAAACATTAATAAACAAGTGTGCCTTGTGTTTCAACAACTGTCTAGACATGCCTAACGACAGCATTTCCAGCTCTCCTCTAATTCCTCACACACATTTCTTGAAGGCTGTCTGGCACACAAACTGTGGCATCACTCGCATGTCTGGACATTGAGCTAACTTGCATTTTCAAGCTGTGGCATGTGAGAGTGCCCAACTTCCTTTTTTGCTTGATCTCTCTTAGCTCTACCTTTTATGGGAAATTAATTTAAACACACTTTTGGGTGCTTTCCATCTTTCATGTGGTTTGAGCTGCCTGTGCCCCCCACCCCCCTCCCCCCTCCCCCCACCACCACCACTTCCTCCTCCTGCCTCCCCTCGCCTCTCTGTCTCTCAGACACACTTCTCACCACACAGCATTGCTCATCCAGACAGCATCTAGACACGCACCAATAAATACACACACTTGCAAACTCACGGAGCTGCAAAGCCATGTAGCCCGTGCACGCCACTCGCTGGACGGACCGCGGTACTGCAGCTTGTTGATGGGCTTCATGCCCCAGTTCACTGCAATGAAGAAGACCTCTGTAGACTCTTGGGGGAGAGATGTTGCAGCCTCTTGCCTTGACATAGTTATGAGATGGCCCCATTCCCATCCAGCCGGGGGACCTTTGACCCAGGGCTCTTTGCTCCGAGGGGCTGAGGTAGAGGAGGTGAAATGAAGAGGGGAATGGATTATGGTCCTCGAGTCATTAAGAGTGCAATTAAAACTTTCAAATTTTGTTCAGCAAGAATTTTTTCACTGTGCCAGTGAGAAAGACATAGGCCTACCCCATAAGTAAGTGTCATTATCACTTATAAGTATTGGCTAGTTAAAAAATACACCTGAGTTTCCTTTGATATTTGATATACATTTGGTAAAACTTTTTGAAATCTTAACACACAGATACAATAAACAAATTGGTTAGTGGGACTTACACTTGCTTGATGTTTTTCCGTCCAACTCATCGTGTTTTTAAGTTTTATTCAGGAGCCCAACTAACCCAGCGATATTATTACAAATAATATTACAGTCTATGATATTATTACACGTATTTGACCATTTATCCACAGGAAATACTTTTTGCTATTTTGGCATTTTTACGGGACAAATTCGTTAAATTAAACATTTATGAGAAGAGAATTTGCTTTGACTCATGGTAGAAAATAAACTGCATGCTAATAATTAAGATCACACATTCCCTTAAAAGGTGGCACATTTTATTTCCTTTTCAGTTTTCAAAGCAAGCATCACTCATATTATTACAGCAGGTGAACAGAGGATATTATGATAAAAAAACAGTAAAAGTCATGTTTTTTCTGAGTCTCAGGAACAACTTGTGTCACATCTCACTTCTGCCTACTGTGACATTTACCATTGTAACGGTAGTTCCAGGGTGCAAGAAAAATCTGTAGATGTAACAGATGGAACAGTATAATGAGACACGAATGACTAAAACAATGCACACACCTGAACACAAACAGTATATTTACAAGTAACAGCAGCAACATATAACATAAGCAATCATTTGAAAGAAGACAGACTGCAAAAGTGCAAATGAGAACACTGCTAAGTTTGAACACTGAAAAGTGCTTCCAGTGTGTGAATGTGAGAGCAAGAGGAAGATGCAAATGTCCAAACACTGGCATAACACTTTAGAAGCATGTAAACTGTGCTGAAACAGTTGATCGCAATGCAATAAGTGGAGATTGTACAATATATACACATGATTCAGATAATTAGAAACAAATATGTATATGTATGAAAAGGCATTTTTGTGCGTTAACCATCAAAGAAAATACAATTCATTTAGTGTTATTATGTCCATCCCACATAGCTAGTATCTCTTAAACTGAAATCTGTGGGGGTTTGCATTTATCAGTAGACTTGAATGTGTGTCAATACATTCCTCAAACATCTGTTAAACACGGGCAAGCACTTTTGATTTGATGTAAAATTATTGTATAGATTGTAAGATATTTTATTCCATGAAAGTAACTGCTTTGTGCCGATGTCATAACAGGTTCAAGTACAGGGATGGATGAATGCATTTTCTTTGTTGTAATGGTCTGATGCAAAATGTACAGTAGAACACAAGTGACCACCTGAGTTTCTTTATCCAACAGCTGTAAATGGTACTATAAACAGTAGTAGACATTCTGGCTTTACCCTGTAATAAACTCATAAAAAACAAGAGGTTAGGTTGTGTTCTTTTAGAGTAGAAAGTATATAGCAATACTTTGTTAAGGCTGGGCAGTGCTAGACTTCACATACATCTCATATCAACAATGTAGTTGATATAGACAACTCCAGTTAACCAAACTGTCCTTTGTTACTTATTTATCAGCTCAAATGCTGCTGGATTAAAAAAAAACAATCAAAAACAAACACAAGCATCCGCTTCTCTCAGAGGACGCTGTGTCACACTTGAGAATAAATATGTGTTCTCCTCTACATGCTTAAATATATTTAGGTATAGTAGGCAGCACCTCCTCCATGTTTTTATTGTCCACCTTAAGCAACATGTTTCCCTAACCCTCAGTAGCAAGGCACATCAGACAGGCACACAGGACAGCAAGCAAGTCAGTCTTTCTTTTTTTTTTTTTTTTTGGGTCAACCTACCAAGGCTCAAAAACCGGCTTTTCAGGCTTGACCTCAATACATAAACCCGCCCCCCAAAGCCTGCAACCTTTAAACACTGGGGGTAGCTGAGGACCTGGGACTTAACACTGAACATATGTTGATCCTCTTATATGGCAATATGCGTGCAGTTAGCCCTGGGAATGTCAACAAATATTAAGTACAAGTAATTCAGTTAAGTTTGACCTGTGTTTAAATAGGACTACAGGGGATTCTGACTATTTTTTAAGCATTTTGTGACGAGGCAACCTTAAAAAAACACTCAATGTAATTTTTTAAAAGTGCTCTAAAACATATATTAAAAACTAAAATCGTGTGTGTTAAAACACTGAGTTGGCTTTATCTAAACACACAACACTTCTCTTGTATCATTTGTGAGTTACAAAATATAACTCCTTATAATATCTATATGCTTGGACCCTCTTCTCTATGTCACACACTAAGTCTTTCTTCCTCTCTCAGGGCTTCTCTGGAGGAAGATCCACCATGGGAACCTTTTCTGTCGGGGACATGGGTGAAGGTTCTTTGTTCTCTGGCAGGCTGACCACCATAGCTTCAGGGTCCAGAGGTGTTGCGGGTTTTCCGGCACTTGAAGCGAATCCCTGAGCGATGTCATCAAAGGTCCTTCCTTTGGTCTCAGGCACTCGCAGGTAGGTGAATATGAAGAACATGATGAGAAGCACCATGAAGATGATGAAGACATAAGGACCACACAGTTCCTGAGAGAAGAAGAGAAGGATATTTGTGAGTGATGAAAACTTCATACTGCTTCTACTTCTGAAGATTTTATTGAGAATGTCTTCATACCTCGAGTTTAGGGAAACCAAGCCCCACCAGGAAGTTAGCAGTCCAGTTTGAGAAACCAGAGATGGCCATTGCAGCAGGTCGGGGCCCCTGGGAGAAAAGCTCAGCCACAATGAACCATGGGATGGGACCTGGACCCATCTCAAAACTGGCAACAAAGGCGAACACAGCCACAATGGCCAAGTAGCTCAGATTGGGTGTTGTCTTCTGCTCAGAGAGAAAAACAAAAGATTAAGGATGTAATGAGGCAGAAATGGGGACACTTTTTATTCTGATAAAAAAAAAAACATCATCAATCATTCAACCATGACTCACCACCAAAGAAAGCGAGATGGTCATGAGGAGGGCAGATATAGCCATTCCAGCCAGGCCAATCAGGTGCAACGTCCTTCGGCCTGCCCGTTCCACCAGGAATAGCTGGAGTCCAAACAACAAAAGATGTATTAATAATCACATAATTTAAAAAAGCTGCCTTGTAATGAGACACAGAAACAAGCATTCAGCCACTTACAGAGACGACAGTAAACACAGTGTTGACAACTCCAGCTCCTATGGTGGCATAGATGGGTTGAGTAACACCAGCAGTGTCAAAAATACCTGTAGAGTAGTAAAAGACCTGAAAAGGGAGAAAATGAGAGGTTACTCATGTGAAAGAAATACGTTTAATATGACATTACAATGACCCAGAGTAAATGATTCTTTTGCTGCTTTGAGGCAAAACAACAAGCTTTTAACCGAAAACTCACTGCTATTGACTTTAAGCGCAAATGCTAGCATGTTAGCAAACAGTTGCTAGTTTACAAATTCAGCAGGCAAACAGCAACATTAGCATTTATTTTGGGTTGTGTTTATGTCTAGCTAGTTTATCTAAGTCCAATATTTACTCTATTTCTTTTCTGCTTCGTTCGCCACCAATTCCTAACAGAATTATGACAGAAATAACTCTTGCAGCTCAATGCTCCACTGTGTTTGCTCGCGAATAACTAGTTTCTGTGTTTGCTAACTACTAACTAAGTTTGTCTGTCTTTTGTTTAGTTTCGGTTTGGTGGTGTTCAGTCGATTTTCAGAGCGTTTTAGCTAACTTAAACATTTTGTAAATGTGTAACTGTCGCAAATCGAAGAGATGAGAGAAAATTAGAACA